AAAATCGCGGAACAGAATTTCTTAGCCTCAAAGGTATTATTGATAACGCTTACAATTCTATGGCACTGTTGAACTGTAGAATGTTGGTTCCGAAAGCCGAATTGATGGTCTGGAAAAATATTTGTATTAGCTAAGATGTTTTGGAGTAGCAGTTTTTCAAGCACTTTCGAGACAATAGGCAAAAGGCTGATCGGTCTATATGAAGAAACCATGTTTGGATCTTTCCCACTTTTATGTATCATTTTTACTATGGATGTTTTATAGAAGGTTGGCCAGTAGTTTAATCTTATTATCGAATTGTATATATAAGTTAATAAAATAAATCCCTTCTTTGGCATTTCTTTAAGCATTCTTGAAGTCACCAAGTCAAATCCAGGAGATTTCCTATTCTTCAGTTTAGCAATTTCTTTAACTATCATTTTTAAAGAGAAGAAGTTTATACTGTTTTCAGAGTTCACTAAGGTAAATGAAGTCAAACTGGTGTCCGCTGTATTTGAGAGATCTGGATTAGGTTGAAAAACTGAACTCAGATATTCAGCAAATAGATCAGCTTTTTCTGCGTCACTTCTTGCCCAGTGTAGGTGATTGCGCTCATCCCATCGAATAGGTGGATTTCTAATTTGAGGTTTTTGTTTGTGTTTAATAGGATTCCAGATTGAATTATCAAATCTATTAAGATTTGATACATACTTGTTAAAGTTCTGGTTGGAAATCTCTCTGAGCCTCAATTTAAGCCTGTTGCTTAAATTATTAAAAATATTTCTATCCGAAGGTAAATGACTTGATTGCCATTTGCGTCTTGCTCTCCTTTTATCTGCTAATAAATTTTTAATTTCCAAGGACAGCGATTGCTCCTGCTTGACGGTTGTTTTTGGAGTAGCTATTACAGCTGCTGCATGAAGAATTTCGTTAAACTTGTCAACAGCGTGGTCAATCTCTGCTGGATTTTTTAGACTAATTTTGAGATTTATCTTCTCTTCTATTTTACAACGGTATAGCTCCCAGTTAGTTTTTGTTGAATGAAGTCTAACAGGATTACAGACGTTCATAATAGAAGAAGAAATAGTGGCAATAATCGGGGAGTGATCTGATGAAAGATCATAGCTTGGATTAACATCAGTATACTTGGAATTTAAACCTTTTATTATAAAAAAATCCAGTAAATCCGGCTTCTTTCTTATGTCAGTAGGCCAGTAGGTTGGAGTTCCTGTGGAAAGAGTAGAATAGCATTGTTGATCAAGAACTTCATAAAGTGTTCTTCCCTTTGGATTGATCAGTCTTGATCCCCAAAACGTGTGCTTGCTATTAAAGTCTCCGCCGACAATAAATTTACTTCCAAGCGACCCAAAAAAATCAGAGAATTGTGAAGCGCTAATCTTATGCCGGGGAGGACAATATACTGCAGAAATAGTTAATGGAAAAGAAGAAAGTTGAACTTGGATTGTTGTTGCTTGAAGGAATTCTTTGTCATACTTTTGGAGTTCATAATGAGAAATGTTGGACTTGATCAATACGGCTGAGCCACCGTGTGCTGTACCATCTGGATGACATGTATGATAAATATAGTACTGAGGAATAAACAAGTTGGAGTATTTAGTGAAGTGGGTTTCACTTACTAGTAATATATCAATTTTATTTTCATTAAGGAACACTATCAATTCATTTTTATGCTGTAAAAGCCCATTTGCATTCCATAATCCTACTCTTAGAAATTTGAACATTATTTAGGTTTATTTATAAGCGTGGTTAACATGCTTATCATCATTGTATTTTGCTGCATGAGCTGATTGAACATACTTTTAAACTCATTCAAAAAATGGAAGAGACTTGAATTAATACTTTCTGAAATTTCTGATTTACTAGATTTGATTGCTTGAGCATATGACATATGTTCTGAATTAAAAAGATTTTCATTACGATGATCAAAAGTAGAATGCTTTGCATAATTTGGATGATTATTCGAATAATTTTGATTAGTCGCACTATTGCTATTGGTATTTATTTTAGGTTTACTGTTCAAGAGGTTTCTATAAGTTAGGCAACCCCTATAATTTGCGGTATGGGACTCTTCACAATTAGTGCAAAATGCAGGTAATTCTTTTGATTTTGTACATTTTTTACTCTCATGTTGATCACCACATTTTACACACCTAAATGGCCGGTTGCAGTAAGATTTTGTATGACCATACATTTGGCATCTACTGCACTGTGCTATTTCTGATGATCTCATTGGAGGTTCAAAATGCACAATTTGATTTAGGATTTTATTTAATTTGAAGATATCGGAGTTATTGCTGCTTGGCTCTAAATCAACATAAAACATGTTGAGTGGTAATTTACTTCTAAAGTGAATAACATTTGTTATATTCCTAACTTTATGCCCAAAAGTTTCAATTGCTGTTTTTAGCTCTGTAATATCGGTTGAATAATGCATATATTTCATGACCACTCTGTATGCTCTTTCGCTGCTAATCTGATAGGTATGAAAAACTGCTCTACGACCTCGGAGATATTTAACGAGGTTTTTATAATCATCAACAGAAGAAACAATAAATTTGATTATATCATTAGGAAATGTTTTAGTGGTAAAATTTTTGATATTTAGAATAGTTCTGATTTCATCAACCATACCTCGGAAATCAACCACACCGTAAATAAAAACTGGCGGTGGCAAATTTTTTTTTGATATTTCTGAAACAGCAATAGGCTCTTTGTTCGTTAATACGTTAAATCTATTTGTTAATTGAATTGGCTGATCTACTTGTCGGTTTGGACGTTTCCTTTTAGGACTATCAACAACTTGCCAAGGAATGGAATTATAAGTTGAGGGCTCGTTGCAGGATTCCATTTGTTCTTCATTCATGTTGTTATTGCATATTGTAGGATTTACGAAATTAATTGCTGGCTGTGACTTATGTAAAAGATGTTCACTTTCGGGACTGCAGTTAAGCACTTTATCAACTTCAACTAACGGAATTGGTGGATTATATGGTTCATTTTGCATAATTATTAATTATGCCTTAATTAACAGTTTTTTAAATTATATATTCAATGAACGAAAATAAATGTACCCTTACGGGTACATTTATTTGATTATTATATAACACTTCACTAATAAATTCAATTTGTATGTCACTTTGGATGATAACAATGTTTGTTTACACTCACGTGAGGCACAGTATACCTGGCCGAAGGTTCGAAGCGAACTGAGGTCAACTGATAAGAAATATTGAATATTTATTGATCCGATGCTACCTGTACGGCAGTTGGTTTCGAACTGGGTTACTCGACATGCTACTAATATTTACGCTCGCGTTGGCTTACAGCTCATAGATTGTATCAGAGATAAGAATGACGCATGGCCGTTGCAACATTGTATGCATGTCAGTAACGGTTTTGTAGGGTTTTGCGTCTAAAGTAAACAAGTATGAATCATTTTAACGTATTTTTCTGGAAGGATGATTGCGTCATCATCAGAGATTATAAAAGCCTGAAGACGAGAGAATGAGGGCGCACTTGTTGACTAAAAGCCAAACAGTTCACATCACTCTTATTCAAAATATCAATTGTGTATTAAGTGTAACCAAGTAATGAATTAAATAAATATTAATAAATGTCTTCAGATGTTTAATTAAGTATTTCACAGTGGTAAAGTTTATGACAGCAGCAGAAGAACCTAAATTTTAATTGTTGACATCGTTGGTGTGAGGCAACATAATTGTTGGCAACGGATCCACAACATAAATTGTTGTTAGCCCAGGGGTGCACAACATAAATTGCTGGCAGCGGTGGCATTGTCACATAAATTGGTGGCAGTGTGGGATTCTGCGAATTTTTTTTAAAAAAAAATGCTAAATTATTTACCATAACATGTTTTGAACATAGAATTATTGCATATTTGGAAAACGGATATTTGAGAAAAATACGCCGAAATATAGCAATAATTAGATTCAAGAAAAGGTAAAAAGCTTTACCGAAGTGGAAATATTATTGAAATTACAAAGTGAAGACTTCAAAAATCAAGAAGTAAGAAAAGAGAAAAATCGTAACAAGAAGAAACAAGAATATCAAATCAAGAATCAAGAAACAAAAAAGAGAAAGAAGATAATATAAATCAAGAAGAAAAATCAAGAAGTTCAAAGTGTTATAATTACAAGTGAAAAATCAAAGGTGAAAAATAAAATAAAAAGTGTTATGAAAAAGTGATATAATCATTGTTCAAGATTACAAAAGTTTAAGTGATTGTGAATTCGAGTGAACCAAAAGGATATTAAATTAAGAAAGGAATATAACTCATTGTCAGTAAGCTTATTTTTAATATATTTTTGTAAATTTTTTCGCTTCTGTTTTAGTAGTTTTTCATACTTTTCAAAAATGAATGAACCAGTAGATATGTCGCGCGAAGGTAAATTAAATATTCAAACTGCTATCGCTTTAATTCCGAATTTCAATGGGGAACCTTCAATGCTTCCTTCATTTATTACTGCTTGCGATGCATTATCGGTGGATTTGAGTCCATCAGAAGCGGAAAAATTGCTTACAGTTATAAAATTAAAATTAGACCCACAAATTTTTGCAAAAATCCAATTTATTAATTTTGAAACGTGGGATGATTTAAAATGTTATTTAGCTAAAGAATATGTTGTTAAACGACCAATTGCTAGTTTATTAATTGAATTAAATAATTTAAAACGAAAATACAACGAAACAGTAAAAAGTTTTGGAGACAGAATTGAAGAAATTTTACGACAAATTCATTATTCAAACATAATTACAGTAGGACATGACTATGCAACAACAACACAAATGACATTCGAACAATTAGGCATAAAAGTTTTTGAAAATGGCTTAAGAGAACCGTTAAAAACTTTAGTAAAATGTTGTCGATTTTCTGATATTAAAGATGCTATTGACTTCGCTTTGCAAGAAGAAGCTTGTCAAAATTCGTCAAATACCAGAAATAATCAAAATAATAATATAATATGTTACATTTGCAAAAAACGTGGTCATATTGCTCCACAATGTTTCTTAAATGAGAAGAATAACGCTAATTCAAATAATAACCAAAAGTTTTGTAACTATTGTAAAAAACAAGGTCACTTAATTTTTGAATGTAAAAATCTAAATCGAAGAAATTTTAATACAAATCGAAATCATTTTAACATGTCAAAAACTTTTATTACCCCTACCAACGAAAACAGACAAGCATTCAGCTATTCGCACACACATGCAGAAAATGCATCAAACGCACATACCCACAGAATGTCAAACCGTGACGAAAATCAACAAACCACAAATTCCCAAACCCAAGTTCCAAAACCAACAATATCCGAAAATGGTACTATTACAGTACGTGAATTAAATGCACAATTTTCCAGTTCATTTTTAATAAACAAAACTGACGAAAATAAAATAAATTACAAAAACAAAAATGTTTCATTACAAATTGAAAACAAAACTTTTTGCACAAAATCAAACAAAGAACAAGACCCAAGAAACGGCAAACAGCAATTAAAAGACAAAGATGAAACCAAAGAAACGCATGAAAAAAACGTTCCAAATTTAACAACTTCAAATAACAAAACGAAACAGAAAGACAAAATTTCCAACAACCCCCAAGTTCCACAAACGCACGAAAAACGTTCAGAATTACAAGCAAACAAAGCAAGCAAAAAAGTTGAAGAACCAGAGACAGTCACAACTCCTACCAAACATCCTTATCAGCAAACAAAATCAAAGAAATCCTACGACAAGTACATGAAACCACAACGGACATTTCAAATCGACAATTTAGAATTAATAACGGACAAAAATCCTTATGCAAGTAAATCCAAAAAACTGATGCCTCTATTTAAAGATGCATACAGAGTTTTTTGAAACAAATGGTACAGGACGGATTCATACCGATCAATGACAAAGGACATGCCAACTGACAAAGATTTTTTTTTTTGCGAATTGAAATTAACAAAACCAAAAATGAAATAAAAATTACAATTGTCAAAAAAGACAACAAATTAGGCAACAAAGAAAAAATGAATTAAATGTTAGAAAGAGATAAAAAAAACAAATGAAATAAAATAAAATTGTCACAACTAAAGATTCTCAAACTTTTTTCACAAATATTAAAATTTACAATGTAAATGAAATCAAAGTTTTTTTTAAGAAAAAAAAGAACATTGTTATATTATAAGTCATGATAATTATTGTAAAACTGTTCACATTATTATTAATCAATGAAATGCCATATTTTGAAATATTATAAAGATGTTGTATAACTCAACTGTAATCATGAAATTTTGAAAATATTACCATTGAAATAAAATTATGTTTAATTGTAAATTCATGATATTGTTCTACAATAAATACAATTTTTGAATTTTTTTTTAATTAACATTTTTTTTGAATTTTTCGAAATTTCATGAAGAGAAAAAAATATATTTGAAATATTATATGAACTTTAACATTATATTAATTATATCCAAACAAATAATTATAAGAAATCTGTACAATGTAATAGCATGAGCAAACATTTTTTTTGAAGCACCCGAAATGCTTTCTTTTTGTGAACGCACGAGGGCGCGCGTTTTTTCGGCGGGTGAGGTGTAGTGGTATTCACCCTTTACAATAGTTATAAATAATATTATAAATTCGATATAACAATCAATATGAAAGACGCAATACGTTGTTGGCTTACAGCTCATAGATTGTATCAGAGATAAGAATGACGCATGGCCGTTGCAACATTGTATGCATGTCAGTAACGGTTTTGTAGGGTTTTGCGTCTAAAGTAAACAAGTATGAATCATTTTAACGTATTTTTCTGGAAGGATGATTGCGTCATCATCAGAGATTATAAAAGCCTGAAGACGAGAGAATGAGGGCGCACTTGTTGACTAAAAGCCAAACAGTTCACATCACTCTTATTCAAAATATCAATTGTGTATTAAGTGTAACCAAGTAATGAATTAAATAAATATTAATAAATGTCTTCAGATGTTTAATTAAGTATTTCACAGTGGTAAGTTTATGACAGCAGCAGAAGAACCTAAATTTTAATTGTTGACATCGTTGGTGTGAGGCAACATAATTGTTGGCAACGGATCCACAACATAAATTGTTGTTAGCCCAGGGGTGCACAACAATATATATAAATATATACATTATATGTAAATGATATTATCTGTAAGTACATACTATATGTATTTCTTAAGCCAATTTATAAATAAGAAAATGATTTATAAATATAAAGTGTTATGAATTACTTTTAATTTTACATTTTATATCAAACTAGCAAACCGGGCGAACTCCGTTTCATCACCAGATGGTTTCACTTTATGTAACATTTCGCTTGATGATTAAAAGATGAAGAAAAAAATTGCCTGCTGTTGAAATTGAATAAAAATTTGCACAATACACGTGATTGATTTGATGGTTTCCAATTGAAATGTAAGGAAACAAATAACTTATTTTTTTACATATTTTGCACAATTTCACAGTGAACACAATGCCGGTTTGTCACATGAAATTAACTGAGCAGAGAATAATGAGTAGCTGTCGGACAAATGAGTAGCAGTCAAACAAAAAATATTAGTTTGTAGCACATGCAAAGTATCAGAGATGACGCTGTATGTGAAAAAAGAAAAAGTGTTTTCCGCTTTTCTGTTGAAATCTTTCTTCAAGTTTCTTTGCTATAAACCTCACGGAGTCCGAGACCTTTCCAACGAATGCAAAATCGTCGAAATCGGATCGTGCGTTCTGGAGCTATATCGTCAGAAAGGAAAACCCGACTTATTTTTATATAATGGATTATATAAAAATATATATCTGTAAAAGGTTCGACTTTGTGCACCTATAGTCGGGGTAAAATGAGGCACGCAGGAGGCAAAGAGGTATAATGTCATATTTTTATTTTAAAGGGATTGTTCAAAATAATAGCTACATTATTCAACCAATGCAAAACATAAATTTCATGGATTCATTTTTTACAAATATAAAACAGCCTATAACCTTGATCTGGTAATTCCTCAGAAAAAACATCAGCAGATTTGGAATAAATATTTTTTATAAGAATAATATTTATTTAATTTATTTTATGTAAAATTGCCTTTTAAACTCATTCTTTTTTATTTAACATTTTTCAATGCTTAAAACTTTGCTAGGGTAAAGACTCAAAGGTTTTTTTTTATCCCCCGCCTAACAACAAAAGAAAATACTTTTGCTATGGGTTTTTTCATCACCTTAATCATTTTTTCATACCTAAGCAAGTTTAATCTCATTGAATTGTTGGGAACATATTTTGCGAACAAATTTTTAGATGACGATAATATACTCATACATAATTACTACTACAGCTTATCAGATTACTAGCTCATCAATAACTGTACGAGATACTTAAACAATTAAAAGTACTTAAAGAGTACAACCGTTAATTTTGTTAGTATTTTTATTGCATTTTTTTTAAATCTTTTGATTTATTAATAAATACACTATGAACAAACATTCTGGAATGAAAAAATATGAAAAATAAAAACATTGTTATCCTATGATATATTTGAACCACGAGAAACAAACGTTATTCAACTTCTCTTATCCTTCATTAATAAAGTAGCAATAAAAATCGTGTGTTTACTCATCATGAATCTCGGGGCAAATTCTTATAATATTCAAATGAATTTTCGTGATGTCATAAGCGGTTATGCAATGTTTATGCGATGGTCATCATACAATTCCCTTGGAACCTGCTCATAGCCTCGTAGTAACGTTTTTTGTTTGATCATTAATACATCATGCCATTCATGTGCCGCCTAAACGTAAGTTGTAAATTGAATATTCATGTGCATTATCTCTGAAGTTGCATGCGGATTTATTACCTGTACGTGCTGCAAGACAAATCGTGAGAAAAGAGGGAAGTTCAGGAAGTCGTGCAATACTCGCATTCGCAATTGATTTTTAACTCTGTCGTTGCCTCACGCGGGTTATTGTTGATTGTAAGGACGGCAGTTTTATTATTGACGACTATATTCGCCATGCGTATAAATCAGTACCCATTGGCAATTTGAATCAAAATTTTTGAAAAAAAAAACAAGTAGAGGGTGAAGTCCACACCCGATATCTTAAAAACAAATAAAGTTAAGAATTTTTTTAACAACAATATTTGAAAGTAGAGGGGAAAAATGTAAAACCACAGCCTTCGCCTTGATTCCTACGATGTCGCTATCGGAAGATAAACGGCAATGTTTGAAAATCCATAACAAAAGTATGTATTTATATTCGCTGTTAGATTTTTTGATTGTAAGCACTATTGCTAAGTTCACGAGACCTTAATATTACTTTTAAGTATACGCTATGTATTGATTTATAAGATGAATTTTTAATTAAGATGAATTTAAGTTTACAGTGGTTGGGGTAGAAAAGACGAACTAAATATTACCCTGACAAAGGCGTAAACAATAAAAAATAATAAATAAAAAAGTAAATTCAATTAAAAATTACAAGAGATAAGTTAACTAAATCGTTATTCCAACTTTGCTAATAATTTTTTTCTGGCAAAATACCAGATCAAGTTTATATACAGTGTTATCTCTGTAAAAAAATGTACGCATGCAATTTATATTTTGCATTGGTTGAATAATGTAAATGTTATTACGTAAAATTCCTTTAAAATTAAAAATAAGACATTGGACCTGCGAGCCCCTGACTGTCCCGTTGTATTCCGCGTGTGGTGTAAAAAGAACCATTTGACGATTTTTTGAAAAACGGCAAAAACATTTCTATATTCATGAATTAGCTGGGCCATACAGTTTCATTGAACATAGTCAAATAGTTTTTTATTTGATATGATATAATTGCAAATAGTTTTCACAATATAATTGCTCAAAGCCAAATTGGACCCTGTACTCCGCCCTACCCTACATAATAGGTTGTCAAATATCTCCCTTCCGCTTTTTTGCTCTTGGTTTATAATACAAAAAGGCGGAAGGGAGATGTTTGACAACCTAATATATAAATATAAATATAAATATATATATATATATATATATATAATATATATGTATATATAAACTATCAACTATAAACTTTTTAAACATGCATCCATACAGATCCTAAATATGATGAAAACTAAATTTTGTTTCTTACAGTAAATTTAATGGTCCATACGTTTCGAGTCCCAAAAAGAAAAAAAAAATCATATATATTGAAGAGACGTTAGTAATCAATTTACTAATTAATAATTAAATGTAACCAATTTTTAATTATTCTTGAGTAGATTAGGGTTTTATTTTGAATACTTTTGAATACGAGAATTGGAACATTTGTAGCTCTTCGGGAAGTGTGTGAAATCAAAGAATTTATTTAGATACAAAAATTTATTTATCGCTTTATTATAATATTTCAGTTGTTGCTTGTTCAAGAGTTCAGGACTAACTAACTTATATTTTTACATTTTTAAAATATTTCCAATATTTCTAGTTTTATGATAGCTCGCCGAAGGTACATGAGCTATCATAAACTTTTATTAAGGGTTGTCTGGCAGATGTACAAAATATTCGCAACATTTACCGTTACTTGGGAGTATACATCGTTCAAAGGAATTCATTTATGACTATTATTTATAATTATAAAGAACACAATTCTCAACAATATATATATATATATACACACATACATCCAGTTTTTCTATGATATGCCACAATGTTTATGAGGTCTTGAAACATAAATATAAGTAAAAATTTCCATTTTCGTTTTTTGCGATTACTATAGCTTTCCCTACGGGAAGTTAATAATATAATAATAAAAATATATTTTAGATTTGATGTCGTTACTTATATTAAAAAAAAATCCGAATTACTTTGCTGCAAAAACACTAATTATTTTCGGTAAACCGAATGATAAAATTAAAATTATCGATTTGTAATTGTGAATAAACAATTACAATATTTGGTTGATTTTTAATATGTGCGGATTTAAGTACTATGACAATCAAGAAATGTCGTTAGACGAAAGCTGTCAGACAG